TATGAACTGGAACTCCAGTAGCAAAACATTTTTACTCACCCTTGCATATAATAGTATTTGGGATATGATGATGATAAAATGCCCAACTAATTTACCTTCTAATATCTCTACTGTCTTTGACATCAGACTTTGATTTAAGTTTGAATCTTGTTCAATATTAATGCAGTATTTCATACCCGTGTTTGATGATTTAACAATATGCCACTGGGTTGAAAGGTCTGAAACCCGAATGAGACCTGGAAGTTGTTTGGCAATGGGAGGTCCAAATTGCTGAAACTCAATTGCCCTCCTCTGGAGAAAGAGGCCGATCGCACAAGCTGAAATGCAAACATGGAGAAAATTACTGGCATGTTAATGACTTTGTGACTGAAATACCATGTCTTAACCCATATCACTACACTAGAACTAATCAATGTGATGTATATTGCCTCAGGAAGAAGTAAAATTTACTTTACTGCATGATAAATTACCAATCACTCAGTGTTGTATGTATGATTGGTTTCTTTACATTCTTGCAAAGTTATTGTGTAAGTCTGTAGAGGTTCTAGATCTTGCAAGTATTTAGTCCATTTTACTCTATGCTACCAGAAACAAAAAACAGTCAGAAGTTGATATGTTATTGAAGACCAGAGATGGGTTGGTTGAGAAGCCCACCTATGCGAAGCTCTGCATTCTGCAGCATATTCATGGAGAACTCTTCACTCACCTTCCAGTCTTCTGAGCACTTTTTTGTCACCCCCACAGTATCATTCAACCTAACAACACCGCTCGTTTTCTTCAGATTTTTCATGCAACCTCGGAAAGCAGGTGTAGAAATGTTGAACCTGATTAGGGATACAAAAAGGAAGAGCTGTATTAGACTAGGCTTTCCTTAGTCTCTGAGCTGTAACACACTGCACCTTTGACTACTTTCTAGTCACTAACTAGTACATATTGTATGGTTAGGGTTCTCCTGAGATTCCTATACTGCTGCCGGGATGGGTAGATGTCCCATGACCCGACACTAAAAGGGATAATCTTCCTTTTTGTGTGATCATACATTGTCAGCTTTAAAAATGCAGACAATAATGTCAGTAGGTAACTCAAGAATGACCAGTGTCCACAAAAGGTACAAGATACAGAAGATGCACAGTATGTAGAGTTGCTCCCCCACCCCTCCACCCTGAAGTCAGGGCAACACATCATCAATCAGAAGCATAACTAATAGGTAATTTATTAGAGCCAAGCACTGGGCTGCTAATCACAAGGTAGGTGGTGCAAACCCACCAGCCTCTCTTTGGAAAGCTTATACAAGGTAGGAACATACTTGACAGACGACACTTAACAACAACAACAGGAATGCTGTATAAAACTTCCTCTTTTGTGTGTGTGTGTGTGGGGGGGGAATCTACTTTTCAAGTAGCCACTGCAAACTCAAATGAAACAAACTGTTACTTTGGGTTCTATTAAACTAAGAAAAATATGGCATTGCATTTCATTAGTGCCAAACTGAAACAATGCAGACCATAGGTAAACTGCAGGGATTGGCTGGGTTTCAACGCTACCTCCTAATTGTACAACTTGGCCAAGTTATTTAACACTGAATGACGGGTTGTTTGAGGATTAAACAAATGAATGCACACGAAGTGCTAAGGGTGGTGCCTGGTATGGGGTACTGAGCTCTCAGAAGGGGTTAGCAAGATCTTGAGAGCCAAGGGTGTGCTGCTGAGGAACTGTGGGCTCTGGAGCCAGGTACCTGAGGGCTGGGCGACCTTGACCAGGCTATTTAAATGCTCTGGGCCTCTATTTCCTCAGTTCTACATCTTCCTCAGAACACGTCTATCTGTCCGTAGGGTTGTTGCAAATATAAATGAGTTAATGTAAGTAACTGGTGCAGAGTAAGAACTCAGTGGGAGAGTCTGTGGGCTGTTGTCAGCTGCTGTGGTGTCTAGTCTGACTCACAGTGACCCATGTGACAGTCTAGAACAGCCCACAGGGTCTTCTTGGCTGTAATCTTTATAGGAACAGATTGCTAGCTCTTTCTCCTCAGAGCCTCTGGGTAGGTTCTAATTGCCAACCTTTTGGTTGGCAGCCATGCACTTTAACCATTTGCACTACAGGGAGATAGTTTAGTGGGAGATAGTTGGACCAACTCCCATATAAAGGCATCCTGGTCCTTGACATAACCATAAGGTTGGCCCTTCAAACCCACTCCTCAGGAGAACGATGTGGCAGTCTGCTTTATAAAGATTTATAGCTTTGGAAACCCAATGGGGCAGTTCTACTCTGTCCTACAGGGCCATTATGTGTTGGAACTGACTTAAAAGCAGTGGATTTTTTTTTATCCAATGTTAAGGAGCTCTGGTTATGTAGTGGTTATGAATCAGACTGCTAATCTCATGGTCAGCAGTTCGAAACTACCAGCTGTTCTGCGGGAGAAAGATGAGGCTTTCTACTCCTGTAAAGATTTACAGCCTCGGAAACCCTGTACAAGGTCGCTATGAGTCAGAACTGACTCCATGGTACTTAACCACCACGACAGCTTATTATTATAATTAGGGAGTCCTAGTGTACCACTATAGGATAAGCACTGAACTGCAGGGTCAGTGGTTCAAATCTACCAGCTGTTCCTTGGAAACCGTATACAAGGTCGCTATGAGTTGGAAACGACTCAAAGGCACTTAATAACAACAAACAACAGATATAATGAGAGCTGTTTCTAAGGCAGCTGTTCATAGATAGCTAGCTGCATTGGCATGTGCCCTTTGATCTGACTTTTGGGTCTGTCTGGAGTTGAATTTACATAAAGCAATAATATACATGGACTGATTGAGATCCAGGCCAATATTTGGGTTTCTTAAATAAACGGTTACTAAAAAAATGCCAAAGTTGCTCTTATCTTAATTTTAATCTTATCTTAATCCCTAAGGCAGCTTGGTTTTCTAAATTGAAAAGTGACTGCATTTATTTTTACCTATTAGAAAACAGCTGAACTACAGGTCATATGTATAAAATTAAATTTCACTGAAAGGAAAAGGCAGAAATGAGTGCTCACCAGCATTGCAGCATGAGCTTAGTTATTTTGTAAAGATGGGTTCTGCCTCAGAAGATGAGGAAAGATCATTTTAATTTCTGGAATGTGATGATTTACAAATATTTTTAGACTCACTCTCTCTTAGATTTCAAGAGGTATTAGGGCCAAATCACTCTCTCTGAGAGCCTTCTTCCTATTACAGTGTGTTGGTTGGAGGAAGAGGAACATGAGAGACAAGTGGAAAGACAGGAAGCGAACAGAGATGGCGCACATATTTTGTGCAAGAAACTTGTATGCACTTTTCATTGATTATTCCATTCCCTCAACAACTGTTTGCAGGAGAATTTCTTCAGACATTTATCTGAACACTTTTCCATATGCTGAACACTATGCTCCCTTTGTCCACTTTGAATTCTTACAACCACTCTAGGAGATTAGATTGTTGTTGTTAAGTACCGTGGAGTTGGTTCCAAGTGACTCTGTACAGGTTTCTGAGGCTATAAATCTTTATGGGAGCAGAAAGCCTCATCTTTTTCCGGCAGAATGGCTGGTAGTTTCGAACTGCTGACCTTGAGGTTAGCAGCCCAATTCGTAACCACTACGCTACCAGTTGCCATCAAAGAAATGAAGCAGGGTCAGAAAGACAAAGAGGCCTCAAGAAGTTCATGAAAAAATTCCATTACCTTTTACTTCTCTTTCTCCAAGAACTTTTTGAAGCCTTGTCATATCAGAACGTTGTTCTACATTTTATTTTCTAGGTAGTAAAATGACAGTGAAATATTTTGATTGTCCTCTGTCTCCTGCATTTCCATGTTCTTGTCAGTTAAATAAAATATCAAGACTGCTAATAGCAAGGTTGACAGTTCAAATCCACCAGTCTTTCCTGGGAAACCCTATACAAGGTCACTATGAGTCAGAACTGATTTCACAGCACTTAACAACAACACACAACACACACATATACATATATACATAAAGAGAGGCCTGGTGGCACAGTGTTTAAGTGCTTGACTGCTAACCCATTAGCCACTCTGTGGAAACAAGAAGCAATCTGCTTATTTTTTAGCAATCTGCTTTTATATAACTATAGCATTATGAGAACATATGGGAGCAGTTCTACTCCGTTCTATAGGATTGCTGTAAGTCAGAATTGACTTAATAGCAATATGTTTGGTATTTCTTTAATGGATCAAGATAAAAGGAAAAGAAAGGTTGAGTGTTGCCTTTACCCGAAGTCCCACAGCTATTTTGTGGCTGAGCCAAAACTCATTCCCATTTCCTTTGGGTCTCACTAACTACCCTTTCTTGCAAATCACTTTTGATTGGCATTCACATCTCTTTCTGTGGGTCTTATACTGTTGTTGTTTAGCGCTGTGACATTGAAGCTCCTCTGTGGCCTGGCCCCAGGCACCAACCCCAGGTCACATCCCTGCTTGATTCCCAGTATATATAGTCAGTTCTTTGAAGGCTTCCCATTTTCTCTATCTCTTGGCTCTTCACCTCTATTGAAGAGCTAGTATCTCTCAAGGTCTAGCCAGGGGATCCCGCTCAGCTACCAAGCACACCTCACTCTCTACTTTGTGCGGGTTCCTCCTCCTCCCTTCTTTAGCTCTGCCCTGCTCATCACTGTATTCCTGACACTTGTCACACTGTTCATTAGACACTCAATACAATCAACAAACAATAACCCTTACCTGTACACAGGAGTACTGACTATCCTAAATTACTCTACTTTACTTGATGGAATAAAAAGGAACTCAATGTCATGGTGATTAAACACTAAGATGCTAACAGAAAGGTTGGTAGAGTTTGAACCCACTAGGTGCTCCACAGAATAAAAATGTGGATGTCTGCTTCTGTGAAGATTTAAAGCCATGGAAACCCATTCTGAGTAGGAATCGACTTGAAAGCAATGGATTTTTTTTTGCTTGGTTTTAACTGAATAAAATCAAGATTGTTGACAGTAAGTAACAAGCTATCCAAGATTGCATTGCTATTTAGCATTAATAGGTCAGGTCATCTCCTAGGCTTTCAATAGCTTCATCTTTAAATGCAGGGGATACATAATCTTGATCTGCAAGGTCCTTTTCACCTTAAAGAGTCTATGGCATAAAGATATCCTCCCCCCAATTCCATTAAAGTGCTCAGTGCATTCCCCTCAGCATTTTTGTCTGGGGACAACCTAGAGTGTTTTGAAATGAAAGTTATTAGCTGCCATCGAATCACTCCTGATGTCTCATGTACAATGGATGGAACAAAACACTGTCCAATCCCATACCATCTCATGATTGATTTAGGACTGGACTGTGTTGATGCAGTGGCTGATTTTCAGAAGCAGATCACTAGGCCACTCTCCCTAGTCTGTCTTAGTCTGAAAGCTCTTAAAGCCTGCTCAGGATCGGGGTGACACACAAGCCTCCCGGCTGGTGAATAAATAGCAACTGTGTCTGAAGTGAATTGTCCAGGAACTGAACCTAGGTCTTCCTCATGGAAGGCAACAATTCTATCACCGGACCTCTAGTGCCACAAGAAACAAAGATTAGAGAATTCTTACGAATTTCAGTCAAATGCCTCAAAGTATAAGAATTCTTGAAGAATCATAGAAAACATAATTAGACAGTGTCAGATCTCATACAACAGGAATCACAGTGAAATATCCAGGGAGGCACTTGGCTTGATTATGAAGTATCCTCTTCCCACCAAGCCATGGCTGTCTTTTTGGAGAACAAATGCAAATTAACAAACTGTAAAAGTTACTCTTAAGTACACTCTCAAAGTGTTGTTTTCTTCTTTTGTAATTCAAATTAATCTTTACTGTTTGCGGTTCCAATTACTTTAATTAATTTATATGTTCATTAATCCATAGTTATGCATTGATCCCTTGCTCACACCACATAAGGGGCAAGTGATAGAGGCCAAGGGGACATCATGGGTCTCCCATTCTAGGAGAAACTTTCCAAAGGCAGTGAGCCCAGCTTTCCTTGCCCACTGCTGATGGGAAGTCCCAGGAACTGCCTGCACTCTCCAAGGCCACAGCCTCCATTCTTCTTGGCAGCATTCTTACCACTCCTTGTATTCTTTGTGGGTTTTCTCCTCCCAAGAATGAAAATGGAAGTAATACACAGTTCACCCCCTTCCAAGTGGCGACTCTAATTATCTAGTATTTACAGTCTGCTGTAATCTGTTGGGAAACACCATGAATACTGAAAAGTTGGCTCTTTGTTCCCAAATTTAAAAAATGGTAGATTGGCTAGATCAGAAGCAATTGCAGCGCTAAGATAGGCAATCTGCTTGGGTTTTATTGTTGTTGTTGGTTTTTACCCTTAGCCCCTTACTTTTCCCTGAGTGAAATTGGAATTTACCCTTAGCCCCTTACCTTTCCCTGAGTGAAATTGGAATTCCACCCAGATAGTATGTGTTGAAATCAAAGATTTCACCTTCAACTCTGATAAAGTTCAGAGCATTCACATTCACAAACACAGTTTTTCGGACTTTTGAAAAGTTTATCCGAATCTAAAATAAATGAGAGATGAATCAGCAAGCAACAGGAAATGACAGAAGTCCTATTTACAAAGATTCAGATGTCTTTGTTTGTTTTTCTTCAGATTCATTCCTATATATAGTAGAAAGACCTGAGCAATAGCACTTTGGGATAAAAGATGATACCAAACATTTTCATAGGAATGCTTGTATTTGAAACCAATTGCATTTTATAGATGATATATAACTCTATCTATCTCTATCTATCTATCTATCTATCTATCTATCTATCTATCTATCTACACACACTCATATATGCATATATATATTATATGCTTAAATTTTCAAATTTCAAAAGGATGTGTCCCTCAGTTAATAGCAGTAAGTTTATCTTATAGTACAGAAAACATTCTTTTTGTACTGACTTAATTTTTAAAGACTAAGGGCATTTTGGTGTAGTGCTACAGGATAAAGCACTGGACTGAAAGGTCAGTTTGAACCACAAGGTCGACAGCTCAAACCCACTAGCCACTCTTTGGAAACCCTGTACAGGGTCACTAAGAGTCAGAATTGACTGGAAGGCACTTAACAACAACAAGGGCATTTTGGGGAGGGTGGGGGCCCTGTTGGACAAGCACTGAACCACTCCACCAGCCGTTCAGTGGGAGAAGCTTTTTTCTCCTGCAAAGATTTATAGCCTCAGAAATCCTACACAGGGTCATTATGAGTTGGAATCAATTCGACAGCACTTAATAACATGAGGGCATTCTAGGGAGCATTGGTGGTGTCACAGGATTGGGAACTGCAATGTCAGCAGTTCAAACCAACCAGCTGCTGTGCTGGAGAAAGATAAGACTTTCTGCTCCTGTAAAGATTTACAACCTTGGAAACGCTATACAGAGCCGCGCTACGAGTTAAAATCAACTTAGTGGCAGTTTGGTTTGGTTGGAAGGACATTTTGCAGTTCAAGAAAACAGATCAAAAGGATTTACTGTATGATCTGTCCCATCGTTGATGGGGTCTTTGCTTCTTCCTTCTTCTGGTGGCTGTGAATCCAGCTTGTATCGCAGCAGAAGTTTGCCATCTTCTACATTCAGAGAGATGTAGTGGTCCTAGAAGGAGACAAAGGAGGTGATGAGTAGACCCTCAAGTTCTAAAGGGCTCTGGTTCAGTGGCCTCATTTGCTAAAGGATATAACAAGCTCTGGCACTGTGGTTTAGGGTTTGGACAGCTAACTATAAGGTGGGCAGTTCAAGCCACCAGTTGCTCTACAGGGAAAATATGAAGCTGTTTGTTCTTGTAAAGATTTAGTCTCAGAAACCCTAAATAGGGTTGCTATGAATCAGAGTCAACTCAACCGAAGTTGTTGTTATTAAATGCCATTGAGATGCACTGACTTATAGCGACCCTATAATAGGGTTTCAGAGGAGTGGTTGGTGGGTTTGAACCACTGCCCTTGTGACTCAAACTGACCTTGCGGTTAAGCACATTATCCTGTAGCGCCAACATATAATTCACAGAATGGTTATGATAGTTAAATACTATGATATTATGTCATTGTTAACATCACGCTCAGTCCTTGGCATACAGAACCCCAAAATCCCACAGCCATGGAGTCCATTCTGACTCACAGTGGCGTTCCAGGACAAAGTAGAATTGCTCCACAGGGCTTCTGAGCCTAAACCTTTACACAAACAGGTAGCCTCATCTTTCTCCCATGGAATGGTGGTAGGTAGGTTTGAATTGCTATCCTTTAGGTTAGCAGTCCAATACTTAACCCACTGGACTACCAGGAAATACACAATCAATGCCAGCTATTACCATTATTGGAGGTCTTGTGTGGCGCTGTAGTTAGGATAAGCATTAGACTGCAAATTCGGTTGTTCAAACTCACCAGACGCTCCTCAGAAACCCTATACAGGATCTCTATGAGTCGGAACTGATTCGATGGCACTTAACAACAATAACCACATTATCATTATTGGACTCCTAGTATGGCACTGTAGGATAAGTACTAGACTGAAAGTTCTGTTTGAACTGCAAGGTGGGTGGTATAAACCCACTAGCTGCTCCTTGGAAACCCTTTACAGGGTCAGTATGAGTCGGAACTGACTCGATGACACTTAACAACAACAACTCTTATTATTCTGTTCAACCCATCAATAATAAGCTTGGAAAAAGGCAGCCAGGGCGGGATCCCTCACAGGACATCTTTTCCTTACCTGCTCCAGTAGCTCTAGTTGAGGTGGGCTAGCAAAGCCCAGGAGTCTCTGGGAAGTGCAAAGTGGGAACACGCTCGGCTGCACAGTGAAGGTCAAGTGGACCTAGACACTCCTCAGAAGAACCATCAGCTTTTGTAAACTCTATGGGGCACAGTTCTATTCTGACACTAATGGGGTCACCATTAGTCAGCACTGGTGTTACTGAGGAAGCCCAGAAGTGTTTCTTATGTCTGGAGTAGTCTTTTCAGGGGCAGGTCTTCCTATCCAATTACCTGGTTGTTACTACTTGCATGATGCACAGATATATCGAATTCAGAATACCTCTAGTGAAACTGATGATCTCCATACCTCCCTTTTGCCTGCAAGTCATCCCTCTTGCCTCTAACCACCTCTTGGAGCAAGCTGCACATCTGGAAGGCATTCTTGAACCTTCTATCTCTCCCATCCTGGTTATTCTAGCATCTCTTAACTCTCTCTCCATTTATCCCACTTAGTCTCAGCTACAGGTCCCTAGTGGCACACACAGTTTGTGCTTGACTACTAAGCTAAAGGTCGTGATAAGAATCGCCCCCAGCCACACTGCTGAAGAAAGTCCTGGTAATCTGCTTCAGTAAAGTTTACAGAAAACAAACAACAAAACCCCATACACCTGTGGAACATTTCTAATCTGTAACACACAACATCACCAGGAGTTGGGATCAGCTCAATGGGAAGGGGTGATTTTAGTTTGTGTGTTTGTGTGTATGTTGTAGCCACAAGTCTAGTTTTGATATTCTGCAAAGTGATCGTAACCTGTTCTCCCCAAGTCCACTCTGGCCCTCTGAATTTCAGAGTGGCCTCCCAAACTGCCAGTGTCAGCATGTTATTTTCCCTTGTTTTTAGGATAAAATCTGAAATCCCCTGCAGATGCTCTGAGGTCCTGATCTTTCTTCGCTTCATTCCTCAGCAGCTCCTCTGGCTCTCCTGCTCCATCTCAGTCCTGGCTGCTCCTATCCTGTCCACTACCAGGCCTTCATCACACCACACCCACTGTCTACAGCACTCATTGGCCCTGTCCCCTTCATATGATGTTTTCAATTGTGCTGTCCTGGTGTGGTGCTGTGGGATAAAGCACTGGACCGAAAGGTTGGTGGGAACCACAAGGCTGGTGGTTCAAACTAGCCAGCCACTCCTTGGAAACCCTATACAGTATCACTATGAGTCAAAACTGGCATTAACGACAATAACAACAATTCAGATGAAACATCCTTTTCACAAGAGTTTTTGATGCTGTACATACCCGCTCCACCTTAAACTTCTCCTCTACACTGCTCATCACATTTGTGAGGAATTAGCTAAGTAACTGTTGCTGTTGTGCCCTCGAGTCGGTTCCAACTCACAGTGACTCTGGATAGGGTTTCTGAGGGGCAGCTGGTGGGTATGAACTTTTGACATTGTGGTTAGAAGTCTAGTGCTGATCCTACAGCACCACACCAGGAGTCCCACTAAATAAACTAGTATGGCTTTATTTAATATCTGTCATCCCCTGCTAGAGTATAAGGTCTTTGAGAGTAGGAATCATATTTGTCTTGGTCATTCTTGCATCTCCATTGAGGTATAAGACATATTCTTGAATAAATGATATCCTTAATGGAGAGATAAGTTGAGGAATTTCTGACATAGCACTTGAAGACTTTGCTTTTGCAGAGTTTCTGATACACATTAAATTGTATTCTTGAAAATATGTGTTGGAACCCTAACCTCCTATACTTACGTACAGATATAATTCCATTTGGATCAGAGCCTTGTTATGTTAATGAGGCCATAACAGTGTAGGATGTATCCTAAACCTAATCACTTGTGGCTTATAACAAGAGCAGAGTAGACATAGAGGTATATACAGAGGGGTGGAGGCTGAGGAAGGTGGAGCTTTGAGGGGATAGACACCATGCAAGTATCACTTATAAGTCAAAGAACATCTGGGGAAGGAATCCATCTGATTTGAACTCTTTGTATTCAGAATTGTGAGAAATAAATTTCTGTTCTTTAAAGCCACACACCTGGATCGCTGTTAAGCAGCATTAGGAAACTAACTCTGGAGGCTAGGGTGAACATCTTTATCCAAATGGTAATGGTCTTCATCTGCATCCTAAACCTGCCCTGGAGTCAGGGTTAACCTTATGCATAAACAGCAGATTAACACCAGCTCACTGAGAATAATAAGCCAGCCTCAGTAACAACTGTGCTATGTATGCATTATTGTCTCTCATCTGCCTACTAACAGTTTCAGGGAAATAGTCTTCTAATATAAATAGTATTTCTGGTTCTTGTTGTTGATGTTGTTATTAAGTGCTGTCGAGTCCATTCCGACTCATGGCAACTTTGTATAGGGTTTCTGAGGAGCAGCTAGTGGGTTTGAACTGCTGACCTTGTCGTTCAGAGTCTAGTGCTGATCTTATAGCACCACAGTGCAGCACAAACATGACCTTATTTTGGAAAAGAACTGTCTTGCCAGCAGTCTTGCCTTGGGAATCCTGAGGATACAAGTTTCCGCATTCTTTAAGGCCGTCAGGACTGGGTGGGTCTTGGGATTCCCTGAAGGGACCAGACCAATGCAGAAAGAGTTAGAACAAGCCTGTATCCCCACAGGTAGAATGATCTGGTAAAATCCCGAGCTTCAAATAAATCCCACATTCTCAGAACAGAGATCTCATGGGGATGAATTGTTTTTGTACTGCATTTCATAGCTTTTGTGCGCTAAGAATCAGAAATACTCTTTCTATCAGAAGAATACTTCCCTAAAACGGTTAGTATGCAGATGAGAGACAATGATGCATAGCTCAATTGTTAATGAGGATGGCTCATTATTCTCAGTGAGCTGGTGTTATTCGGTTTTTAGATGTGGGGCTAATCCTAACCCAAGGGCAGCCTTTAGGGTCTTCCATAATAATGACTTAGGAGAACAAGCTTTTGACTCAAGGTCCCTTGCAGCTATAAAAGCGGTTGATGGTGGCTGTGTGCCTTATAATCGATTCCGACTCATAGTGACCCTATGTAGGATTTCCAAGGCTGTAAATCTTTATGGGGACAAAGAGTCTCATCGTTCTCCCATGTAGCAACTGGTGGATTAGAAGTGCTGACCTGTGGTTAACAGCCCAACACATGTCCCACGATACCACTAGAGTTCCTTGAAGGTATAAAAGAGTCCTGGTATGGCACCATAGGATAAGCACTTGACCTCAAGGTCGGTTTGAACCTCAAGGTTGGTGGTTCAAACTCACCAACTGCTCCTCAGAAACCCTATCCAGGGTCGCTATGAGTTGGAACCAACAGCACTTTAACAATAACAATAAAGGAGCCTGAGCAAGCATCACGCCAGCTCTCCATCTATCAGCAGATGGGGCTGATGATTGCTCTGGACTTTGCTCAACAAGTGGATGAAAAAAACGGATTCAAGGAACCTCAGGTGTTTGAAAGCAGAGAAGCTTGGGTGTAGTGGGAAATTGAGAATGAGCCTGATAAAGATGTAATTCCACAGAGACTGGTGAGTCCCAGACCAAGAAGGAAATCAAACAGGAAATCAGAAGTCACAGTCTCTAGTATCTGGAACAAGCAGAAGGCAAAGTAGATTATCAGGCAAGCAGCAGTTTTCAAAGAATAAAATGGACAATGAGAATAAAATGGGGGAATGGAAGATTTCTCCCATATTTTTGTGGCATGTCCTCAAATTAATGATTATTTTCCTTATTACATGTATCCACAGCAAATGGAAAGAAAATAAATTGGGCCAAGGGAAATGATGCTGGTAACATTTGTACACTGTTTCCAGACCTAGTTGGTTGGTTGGCTATAACAACTCAGTTACCCTCAACATTGCTAAAAAGGAACGGACATATTTAGTAGTATTGGATGCTTATTATGTATTACCTTGTTTTCTGCAAAGAAGAGCAAACCTCTATCCACAGTTGTTTGAATTGTCTGTAGAAAGGTTGGGAAGGGAGCATTTGATTGAGTTGAAACTCGAGCATAACCTGTCCCTTCAAAATAATTTTTATCTGACTCTTCATTTCTCCTGTAAATATCAAATGCCACAAGTTAGAACTCAGTAGCCAAGTCCCATCACACAAGTGTGCTAATTAAATACAAGATGCTGGTCTCTGAAAAACCTGAAGTGGTAGGTAATATAGTTGTCATAGCTTTGTTAAAGAATATGAAACATTTTTAAAATGTCAAAATATTCAGCTATAACTCCTGGATGTGATCTCTTCCTATATTATAATCAAACCCTCACTTGAAAATTATAATATTCAAGAGTCCCTTTGGGAGATATGGCCTAACAGCTGAACATCTTGAAATGTAAGATATTATTAACTTGGAATGCAATTTTATTCTGAATAAGGAATACTCAGTCATTCTCATATTAGGATATTTCAAGTTGTCTTAACCGTAGGAACTGTCAGGAGATCAAGGCAGCAATTTTCAAACAGGTCCAGGCGGCAGAGAATCTAGAAGGTCATGGAGTACATTGTGGACCACTAGTTTTTAAAATTCTATAATGAAGAAATAATTCTGTGCCTAAATCAAGGACCATCTAACATTGACTATTTTGTGTTTGGAGACACTCAGAAATTTAAAAAAGGTTTCTTTAAAAGAAAAATGATAGCACTCTATCAATCAATTTCGTATTTTATACAAACTAAGGAAGTACTGCCTTGGTTAAGTTTCAGGGTGAACAACCAGTGTTGCATGCAAGCACAGTCCAAGAACTACTGGCCCACGATAACTAACCAGCAACATTAGCGCAGCGGTCCCTTTGCTGTTTGTGAAAGCACTGCCAAGTGACGCAAATCTCTAGAGTACTAGTTCCCAGGTTTTACTCACCTTCTGCAAGGCTCCACTTCGGTGGTGTTAAGATTGAAAGTTTTTTTGAAGTTGTATAAGCTCAGAACATTTTCATTGAGGTCATCTAACTCAATACAACCTTTGTAAGGAGGAAATTTTAGTCTTCTGGGAAGCTAAAAACAACAGCAACATCATCAATAAACATCAAAGGGCAATGACAAAGTTGACAAACAGTGAAACTATTACTTTCAGCAATCAGTATAGCATGAGGGCTAAGAAATGTGATTCCTGGAGTCAGATCCCCTAGCTGTATGACCTTGGGCAAGTTATTAAACTTCTCTGTCTGTAATTTGGGAATAATAATTTCCTCATCTGTAAAATGGGAATGATATTGATACTTATTTAAACTAATATTCTCTAGCTTAGTACAGTGCAGGGCACAGAGGAAGCTCTCAATAAGAATGCGCTTTATTTTATAGATGGGCAATGAAAAAGAGGAATCCTCAATGAGATGGATTAACACAGTGGCTACACAAATGAACTCAAACATAGGAACAATTGTGAGGATGGAAAAAAACCGGGTCGTGCTTTCTTCTGCTGTACACAAGGTCACTATGTATTGGAGCTGATTCAGTGGAAACTAACAACAATTATCATCATTGGATATCCTTTAAGGACATACAGCTAAATCCATTTTATGTATAATTAATCATTAAAATGGCAAGTGCAGTGGTTCTGTAGGATAAGCCCCAGACTGCGAACCACAAGCCCACCGGCTGCCCCATGGGAGAAAGATGAGGCTTTCTGCTCCCACAATATCTACCACTTCGGAAACTCTATACAGGGGTCACTCTGAGTCACACTTAGAAACTATAATCATTAAAACAGAGGCATTAATTCATTGTACCAACTAAGATTTAAATATTTTCACTCAGTGAAATAGCATTTACACTTACTCTAAAATCAGATGGGTAACCTCCAACATAAAACACAACATTATCAGGATCCAAGTTGAGAAGCGTGTTACTATTTCCACTCTCCATGTCATGGAACTGGAATGTTTCTGGTTTATTGGATGTGGCTTTTTTGGTATAATTAAGTCTTGCAAACTGATAAATTCTGTAAGATAAAATTATGGCATGAAGTTATACTAACCATTAATGAATACTGAAAGAAATTAAAACAAAATACTAATGAGGGGGTTCATTAACACATACAAATGAGAGAGCTTGGGCATGTGCGTCAGGTTAAGGAAGAGCAACACTAGTCAGATTTTACCTCTGAAATTTCACGCGGTCCATAACTGCCTCTTGATTCTCACTCTCGGTCAAGGTCTGGTCCACTTGGAGCTCAGCCTCGTGTTCCCCAAGGTTGTAGATACACGTGAGCTGACCATTGATGACTGCCATGCCAATGTAGTCCTTGGAGGCCTGGGGACATAACAGTCACCTCAGAGCATCTCATATACTGACTTCCCTTGATTTCCCATCCCAAGAGAATGCATTCCAAACAACACATTTTATGCGTCAGACCTTTGGACAGACAAACTAAATATGGTGCCATCTTTTATAGTTATACAGAACACTTCATTGAGAATGTCTGAGCCATCTTTACGAGGTGCCCTGATGGTGCAGTGATTAAGCACCTGGCTGCTAACCAAAAGGTTGGTAGTTCAAACCCACCAGCCAATTTGCAGGAGAAAGATATAGCAGTCTGCTTTTACAAAGATTGAAATCCTTGGACAGTTCTGTCCTACAGAGTAACTATGAGTTGGAATTGACCAAAAGGCAATACTTTTATTTATTTTGTTGAGACATTATTGCCTGTGTTATGGTGAACTCATTTATTTATTACCCCTTCACTCATTCTACAAACATTTGTCAACCACCTACCACAATCATGAAGCAGATATGGGCTTCGACGTCCAGTAGATTTTAGTTTGATAAGGAAGATAAGCCCCAACTATACTAGTACTATCAACACGACAATATAATGGCATTTCTATACAGAATACTACAGTGCTTACTATACCATAGTATTATTTTGGTACTATACAACATTCTCTTAGTACTTTGTGCATGACTGTTACAACCTATTGTTGTTGTTAAGTGCCATCGAGTCAGTTCAGACTCATAGCAATCCTGTAAAGGGTTTCCAAGGAGCAATAGGTGGGTTTGAACTGCCAACCTTCTGGTTTGCAGCCCAGTGTTGATCCTGCAGACCCAGCACCTTATATAGCCATGGTCAGCTACACATGTACCTTTCTTACCTCTTAGAATGTGCACAACTTAATGCAGATTTACCATAAAGCCAATGTGGTACATAATAGCACACAATATAAACGTGTGGAAGGTATAAAGTTAGTGCATATGTCATGACACCAGGCAAAAAGTCGTATCTTAAGAAAGCTAAAATTAAAGAACCAATGCTTGAAGCCCCAAAGGCAAATTAATAATGATGGGCATAGTAAGAATATTTAAATATAGCATTCACAAACAACAGTCAGCAATTTCCTAATCAGACAGAATTGTGAAAACGGTCTCAGACATTTCTTGTCCAGCCAATGTATCCTAACCTGATCAGTGATTAGCTCTTCACAAATAAAACTCAAAAAGGGTATTTTTTAAAAGCTAAAACCAACCATTCAAAACCAATAATAGTAGTGGTATCACAGATTTAGGATTCTAAAGAGACAGGGCAACAGCGTTTCGTCTGGATTGTTCATTTCCCTCACTTCTCATCTATAGAGACTCTGGGTGTTTGGAGGAAGATGGCGGCAGACCCTGTGGGACCCTGCTAGGGTGAGGAGAGGTGGTCACTAGCCCCAAGTGACTGAGCAATCACCACAGGAGGTGGAGTAAAGAGCCTGAGGTGCTGCTCTGACTTGGTGGGATTTCCAACTGGGCCAGTGGCAAGGACATGTTGTGCCGTCAGAGAGAGAGGAGGAAGGAGAAAGCAAGCTCCTGTCTCATAACACATATTTTGCTTTAAAAACAGGAAGCTTCCAAGAAATACTTACATCTTTATTCCCAAGGTACATCACAAACATGTTCTCAGTCCCCCCAGTTTCTAGTGATTCGGGTCTTTGGAGAAACAAGGAAAGAGACGTGTATCCTTTCAAATCTTCCAGGTCATTTGGCAGTCGGACTTCAACTCCAGACTTCCCATTGAACCTCATGGGAATGGCAACCTACAGATTAACAGAGGATGCTAAACATTTGGGTGAAGAAAGTGAATGCGCTTAGAGAAGTCATAGTGACTGTCTGATGCCTGTCTTACCTGTCTATACCTGCAGTCACTCTTTCCCATGTTGTTGTCATCAAGAGCAAGGGAAGTAACTCCTAAAGCAGTCATGATCTTCCTGTTTATTAGCCAGGGGTCTTTAGAAATTCATTTAATTCTCTGGGTTAATGATATTAACGCAATCTAGAAAGTTTATGTATAGATAAGCTAATATGTATTGAAAGTACTTCATAAGGTATTTGGCCTATAGTGTTGTTGTTGTTGTTGTTAAGTGCCGTCGAGTCGGTTCCGACCCATAGCGACCCTGTACAGGGTTTCCGAGGGTGTAAATCTTTACGGGAGTAGAAAGCCTCATCTTTCTCCCGCGGAACAGCTGGCAGTTTCGAACTGCTGACCTTAAGGTTCGCAGCCCGATTCGTAACCACTACGCTACCAGAGCCTATAGTAGACCTGTAAAAAGCAAACAATAAAAACCGAATCTACTGCCGTCAAATTGTTTCTAACTCATAGTAACCCCAGAGAATAGATTTCTGAGGCTGTAAATTTTTACTGAAGCAGACTGCCTCATTTTTCTCCCTTTGAATAACTGGTGGGTTTGAACTGCCAACTCGTGCCTAGCAGTACAATACTTAACCCACTGCACCACAAAGGAAGAGATGTAAGGTATCAAAAATATTTTTTCCACACTAAATTTCTTGTTGTTGTTAAGTGCTATTGAGTCGGTTCTGACTCACAGCAATCTAGTATAGGGTTTCCAAGGAGTGGCTGATGAACCACTGGTCTTGTGGTTCAAAACGACCTTCCAGTCCAGTGCTTTATCCTACAGAGCCATGTAACATTTTTTACTGCAAGCACTCTATCCTTAAAAAGGAGTGCAGCATCCAGTTTGTCTTCAATTATGCTTTGCTGAAGGACCATTTTCCCTCCCAATCCATCATGGACTAATACGTTTGTAAATTACAAATAAATAACTGAAAAATGAAGTTACTAGAAAAAGGAAAAATTAAAAGTGTGCAAAATACAGTCCACTAATGACATGTTGGATGTTGGGACAATTCAAATTATTACAAGTTTCTAAACACTGACTTTCAGCTTTCATAGTTCCCTTGTCACAGACCACTAACAAAAATTCTCTGACCAGCACTGGTCTGTGGACCAGGTTTTAAGCAAGTCTGCTCTAAATCACAGAAAAGAAACATTCTCCAACAATCTAAAGAATAACCCTTGTAAAACGACACTAACCAAGGCTACATTTTGTGTATCAAGAATTTAAATAGATATCAGGGGTCTTGATTTATGCCAAGGCGTTTGGGCAGGCCCTGCTGATGGCTGAGTCCCCTCACCTGCTTTACAGGCACATTTTATCTTTCTCTCTTCTACTTGCCCTCTGCCCGCCACAATACACAACCACATCTCTGAGACGCTTCCTGGCAAGCCCTTCTGGGTTTTGTCACCTGGCAAACTCCTATTCATTCATTTAATTTTTTTTAATTAGGAAGATATTTCAAGCATACAAAATAAGATTACAGGATATGCCTACCTAGCCACCCATCCTCCATCTTAAGAAATGAAACATCACTGACGTTTTGGAAAAGGAGCCCTGGTGCCGCAGTGAGTCAAGCAAATGGATGCTCTCAGAACTGCTACGAAGCAGGTCTTCTCTGTGCTCTCAGGCCACTATGAGTTGGAATTGAGTTGATGGTAGTGGGCTTGTGTTGGACATTGTGGAAGCCCCTTGCATATCCCACCTTGTCCCCATGTCCAGCTCTCCCTTCTCAGGGATCTGCACTATTCTGGAGTTGAAATCCCACGAAGGCCTTAATGTTTTTACTAAGTATGCATTTACCTATGGTGGGCTCTTGTTAGATGCCATCAAGTTGGCTCTGACTCATTGTGACCTTATATGTGGCAGAATGAAATGCTGTCTGCTTCCATACAGTCTTCATAATCATTGACATGTTTGAGTTCATTTGGCAGATGTTACGTAGTATTACCTTCTAACCTAGGGGGCTCAGCTTCTAGCACTATCTTGAACACTCGTCTGTTGTGACCCATAGAGTTTTCAATGCTAGCTTTTGGAAGTAGATTACCATGGCTTCCTTTCTATTCGGACTTCGTCTGGAACCTCTGCTGAAGCTTGTCCACCACGGCTGAGCCTGCTGGTGGTAGCCATACTAGTGGAATCATTTCTAGCACCAAGGAAGCAAACAAGTCACCACGTCACATACAATAAACAGACAGATGGGTGGTCTATTACTAGTAGCATTTTCCTGTCTTTTAAATCTGGATACACAAATGACAACAGTTTTCTATATTCTACTTGCTTTGCTCAGCATTGGTTTAGGTTTATCCATGTTGGCACATGTGGCTCCAGCTCATTCACTTTTACTGCTGTCTGGGTTTTTTTCTTTTTTTAATGAATGTATCATAATATTACTCAAGTGTTGATGGACCCTTGGCTTTTTTCCATTTTCTTTTTTGGTTGTTATAAACCATGTTGCAATGGGCATTCTTGTCCATGTCTCTCAGTCCTATTCATATGGAGTCTTCTGAGCCTCCTAGGGTAGATGTGGGTGTTTCTAAGACTCTCAGAACATGCTTCTGTCCAGCTTCTCAGCATGCCTGTCTGCTCCCCTAGCTGTCCTCTGCAGCAGCCAGTGAGCCGTGCACTCAGGGTCAGGACTTAATCCTCTCTGCACCCTCAGCACTGGAGAGTGCCAGGAAAACTTCAAACATCCTTGTTTCTTCTTTTAAATTTGATCGTTTTCTACTTACATGGACCTTACTGCTTGCCAGACACTGGTTTCACATTAGCTCATTTAACTCTAATAAGCTCTTGAGGTTGGTACTGTTATTTACTCAGCTCTATTGATGAAATTAGTGGTTATGAATTGGGCTGCAAACCTTAAGGTCAGCAGTTCAAAACTACCAGCTGTTACATAGGAGAAAGAGGAGGCTTTCTGCTCCCATAAAGATTTACAGCCTTGGAAACCCTGTGCAGGGTCACTATGAGTCGGAACCGACTCCATGGCACATAATAACAACAACAAACAAATTATAAGTCTGAACCACTGACCTTGTGGTTCAAACTGACCTTGTGGCCCAGTGCATTATCCTTCAGTGCACCAGGACTTCAACTTGTTGTAATGCATGTCATTTTCTTAATCATACCAAATTCTTCTGGGGTGAATTACTTAATGAACATAAAAGGACAAATGCTAGAAAACATATTACTTTTTATTTGTTATTTTAATAAAGTTTATATGTGTATTTGTGGTTGTTGTTAAGTGCCTTGGAGTCGGTTCCGACTCATAGCGACCCTGCACAGGGTTTCTGAGGCTGTAAATCTTTACGGGAGCAGAACGTCTCCTCTTTCTCCCGCGGAACCGCTGGTAGTTTCGAACTGCTGATCTTGCGGTTCACAGCCTGATTCGTACCCTAAAGGGCAGAAATGGTTTTCACTTGACCACTAACTAAAAAGAGTCCTGGTGTGGCTCTGTAGAATAAGCGCTGGACTGCTAACCGTAGGTTGATGGTTCAAATCCACCAGCTGCTCCTTGGAAACCCTATACAGTGTCACTATGGGTCAGAACCAACTTGATGGCAATTAACAACAACAACAACAATACTAACTAAAAGGTTTGAAGTTCAAATATACCCAGTGGTGTTGCAGAAAAATGATCTAGCAATTTGTTTCCCAAACACAGCCATTGAAAACTCTACGGAGCACAGTTCTAATCTGACGCACATGGGGTTGCTTTAAGTTGGAATTGATTTGATGGCAATGGGTTTTTTATGGGTATGAGTGTCATTGGTAGAAATTCAAGCCATATTCAACAGAGGATGATGTGGAATGAGGGATATCATTGTTGCTATTAGATGGATCTTGAATGGAAGCAGAGAATACCAGAAAGATGTTGATATATGTTTTCCTGATTATGCAAAGGAACATTACAAATTATGGATCACACTGTGAAGAAGAGCATTCCAAAACAGCTAATTGTGCTATGTGGAACCAGTACATGGACCAAGGGGATATGAATGGTTTCTAAAATCAGGAACATTGTATATCTGGGTTGTATCCTTTCACCATATTTGATCTACATGTTGATCAAATAATCTGAGAAGCTGAACTATGAAGAAGAATGCAGTTTCAAGATTGGAGGAAAACTCATGAGCAACCCGAGATATGCAGATGACACAACTTTACTTGATGAAAGTGAAGAGGACCTGAAGTACTTATGGATGATGCAGCGATCAGTATGAATTACAACTTTATATAAAGAAAACAAAAATCCTCACAACTGACCAATAAGCAACATCACAATCCATAGAGAAAAGATTAAAGTTGTTAAGGGTTTCATTTCATTTGGATCCACACTCAATGCCTATGGAATCAGCAGTTAGGAAATCAGGCAATGGATTATTGCATTGGGCGTATCTGCTGTGAAAGGCCTTTTGAAAGTATTAAAAATTTAAATGTCATTTAGAGAACTAAGGTGCACCTAACCCAAGTCATGGTATTTTCAGTCACCTCATATGCATAGGAAAGCTGGAAGACTGAAGAAGCATTAATGCCTTTGAATCATGGAACTGGCAAAGACTAATAAATATGCCATGGACTACCAGAAGAATGAACAAATCTGTCTTGAAAGAAGTAAAGCCAGAATATTCCTTAGGAAGGAGGATGGTAAGACTTTGTTATTAGGAAGGACTGGCCCCTGGAGAAGAACATCATTCTTGGTAGCAGAGGATCAGCAAAAAAGAGCAAGACCCTCAAGGAGATGGACTGACATAGTATCTGCAACAGGGGGCTCAGACAGAGAGCAATGATTATTGGGGCAGTGCACGGTTAGTCGTGCTTCATTGTTTTGTACATAGAGTCACTATGTGTTGAAACTGACTCAATGTCACCTAGCAACAACGACATGCAACATGGGCGTGAAGCAGGTAGTTTCTTCTGAACCCTGCCTTATGTTCTTTGTTTTCCTGCTAAAGGTTTTATTTGGGAAGCACATCTCTTTTCTAAAAGAAAGGGCAGATTCTGAGACTCTGAAGAAGTCCTACAGAGTCTTGACTCCAGAGTACAAAGGACCTGACGTGGCTTTCCAACCCTTTACTCTTCCAAACATCCCAGAAGATGTTGGATTGAAACCATTGAGAAATACAAGTTAGTTAGTTGACATCATTTTAAGCAAAACAAATTATAAGAGGAGTGTCAGGAATTCAAGCAAATGATGTCAGGTTAAAATTAGGAAGGATGACGAATCAGTGTTCCAATGATGGGGAATTGCTGAGTTCCATACATTGCCTGGGTTGGCAGGAACCATTCCTCCATTCTCAATAAAAGTAGATTCTCAACAAAGGTAGATTCTCAATAAAGGTAGACTCTACAACCTCTAAGTTACAATGAGAAAGCAGCTGTTGTGCAGTATCACAGCAGCATACTCTACTCACATATCCCTCATCTGAACTTGCAAGAGCAATTTATCAAGTGGGCCTGGAGCAAACTCCCTCTTCCTGCTTGTGAAAACTCAGTGGAAAGAAACTGCTCCAGGTCTCTGACATACCAGGAAAGTTAGGGGATTATTGTGATAGGCACCTTTGAGGGATGAGAGGAGGAAATCAGTTACCACATTTCAAGGAGCCAAAGAATTAAGCAAAGAAGGACAACTGACTCTTGAGTCAATAAATGCCTTCCTTGTTCAGTAAATGTGGTAACATCAAAGAACAAGCCTAGATGGTTGCCCATGCGGGGGCATACCCACCTTGTTTGCAGCATCTCTGGCCTGCTGAATTAGTTCTCGTATGCGGTCCACATTGTCAGAGATGTTTCCCAGTGGTAACAACTGTTGGTTGATACTTTCAATCTTGCTCAAAAGATCTGGTAGTTTGTTGGTTAATTTTGTTACTGTTGGTGAAGTTAGAAATCAGAAATTTAGAAATGAGTTTAAAAAGGTAAGATATAGATGCTCTTGGGAGCGCAGTGGCTCCATACGGTAAGCACTAGACTGTGAACCACAAGGTCCATGGTTCAAGCCGCCAGCCACTTTGCAGGAGAAAGATGAAGCTTTCTGCTCCCACGAATATTTAAAGCCTTGGAAACTCTACTACACAAGGTCGCTATAAATCAGAACTGACTCAATAGCACTTAACACAACAAAAATAGGTGTTCTTACTAACAGGAGCTAAGTGGTATATTTGAGTCCCACTATTTGGACAAAATGGACCAGAATCAGGTCCTATCTTTTCTAAATCTATCATGAATTTTATTCTGCAATCTAGGTAATAAACCTTAATCACTACTTGGGGGAAACACACACAAACCCCCCAATCTCTGTTTGCAATGCTTAATATCAATCATATTAATAATGTATATAATGTAATAAAATAATATTAATACCTCATGATTCAAGGACCTATTTTTTTGTTGTTGTTAATTGTCGTTGAGTCAGTTCTGACCCATAACGACTTTGTATAGGGTTTCCAAGGAGCAGCTGATGAGCTTGAACTGCAGACCTTGTGGTTCAAACTGACTTTGCAGTCCAGCACATTAACCTTCAATGCCACACCAGGAGTCCTCAAGGACCTTACTCCCACTCTATAAGGGGAACGAGTTCCTGGCTAGTACAAACTGTTAGCAAACTGTTAACGTGCTCGGCTGCAGGTTCAAGTCCACCCAGAGACACCTTGGAAGAAAGGTATGGCAATCTATGAACCATTGAAAACCCTGTGGAGCACAGTTATACTTGAACTCACATGGCACACCACAAGTCAGAACCAACTCGACAGCAACTGATTTATAAGGGGGGAAATCAACAACATCATCAGTTGATTAAAAAACTATATCTTATCTGGTATTAATTTAACTAATAGAACAACACGACTCTAGGGTTTATTATGCAATGCTAATTAGATGCTAGTCTTAATTTCTGTGATCAGACTTTACTAGGGAAGAATTAAGACACGCCCCAAACCCCTAACAATGGAGAATACATTCTCGTCCACGAACGGCTGATACCTGAGTTATCCGCATCAGTCAGAGCCTTGTTGAAGTCTTCACTCTGGGTGCTCCCATAGGTATCCTTAATTCTTTCCACATCAGTCTGAATGGGGCTGAGCCCATCCAGAACCTGACTTGTGATGTCATTGGCATTTTGGACCATGCTCTTGGCTTTATTGATCTTATCGTTGATGTCGTCTATTGCACACACAAAAAAGGAGATGTACACAGCTGAGATCTCCTACCCAAGGAGCCAAGTACAAGGGGCTAGGGGAACACTGACCTCTCTGTATCCCGCGAAGATCATCACGAACAGTAGTGATATTGGTCTCTATTTGCTCTTTCTGAGCAGTCACAATTTGCAGTGTTTCCTGTAGGTTGCTGAGGGCTGGACCAATTTCTAAAATAAAATTAAGCATGAAGACACAATTACTCTGTGGATTGTGATCCTCCATTCGTATCTGTGGTTTCTGAAATAGCCAGAGTCTGCACAGCATTGAGAAGACTTGCATCTTTGTGTTCACTCCTTAGATGCCCACTGCCGTGGGTCCAGACCCACATCTCCAGGGCCGGCACTTGGAGACCACGACAGCCATGTGCTATCAGGCTCCTTGGAAATACACACAAAGGAAGGAAGAGGGCAAATAAATTAGGGGAGGGCGTAGTTTCTACTCTACTAAGTTCAAAGACTGCTGAGTGAAGGAGAAAGATTTGTCTGTCTTTTCCCTGTGGAGTTCCACTACATAGTGTGCTATCTACTGCTTTCGTTGTTGTTGTTAAGTGCTGTCAGGTTGGTTCCAACTCATAGCAGACCCGTAGAGAGTTTCTGAGGAGCCCAAATAATGTAGTGGATGATGAGCAGGGCTGCTAACCACAAAGTCAGTATTCGAATCTACCAGTCGCTCTGCAGGAGAAAGAAAGGGCTTTCTAGACCTATAAAGATTTACAGCCTCAGAAACCCTACACAGGGTGTCTATGAGTTAGAAGTGACTTGATGCCACACGCCACCACCACTACCAAAGCCTCATCTTTCTCCCACTATTGGTGGATGCTATTCAGTAGATTCCGACTCATAGCGACGCAATGTAACAGAGCAAAACAGGCTCATGAGGCTTTCTAGGCTGTAATATTGACAGGGTCAGATTGTCAGAGCTGTTTCCTCCCGTGAAGTATAGCTGGTGAGTTCAAATAGCCAACCTTTTGGTTCACAGCCGAGTGCTTAACCATTGTGCCACTAGGGATGCTGCCCGGTATGAAGCCCATTGTTGTAGAGTCGATGATGATTCATTGTCACCCTATAGGACACAGGAAACCTGCCCCACAGTGTTTCAGAGACTTTAAATCTTTATGGGAAGAGATAGTCTCATGTTGTTCCCTTGGATCAGCTGGTGGGTTTGAACCACCAACCTTTCAGTTAGTAGATTAATGCTTAACCCATTGCACCACCAGTGCTCCTTGTCTGGCACTTGTAGAGCTTGATGTTAGTGCATATTTGTTGAATGAATGAATGCATGAACTAATGACTGAACAAATGAATGAACAATATGGAAAAATGCCTCTCCAGGCAGAGAACAACAGAGAGCCGTATCCAAGTAAGCACACAAGGTAAGCGTTGTTTGTTTCTGTTCATTTTCCAGACTGACATGAGTAAAGAAAGACATCTGAAGAAAGAAAAGGAGCTAGCAGGCATTCCTAGCTAATGATTAGTGCCCCCTTCTGGTCATGAGAAATGCAGCAGATGCTTTAAGTCCACACTGAGGACATGATTTAAATTAGGACTTAAATTAAAGTCAAATAGCAACAAGTATCCTAACGCAGTTTTGTTGTTGTTGTTAAGTGCCGTTGAGTTGGTTCCGACCCATAGCAACCCTGTATAGGGTTTCCAAGGAGCGGCTGGTGAACTTGATCAAACAACCTTGCAGTTCAAATGGCTTTGCATTCTGGCGCATTAACCCACAGCCCTGCACCAGCGGTGCGAATGGTTAACATGCTCGATTACGAACCAAAAGTTTGGAGGTTTGAGTCCACCCAGAGGCACGTTGGAAGAAAGGTCTGGCAATCCACTGAAAACTCTATGGAGCACAGTTCTACTCTGACACGCACGAGGCCACCGCAAGGCAGAGCTGACTCCATAGTAACTGGTGTATATAATATTATAACCCCACTGAAAACTCTACGGAGCACAGGTCTACTCTGACATGCACGAGGCCACCACAAGGAGGAGCCGACTCCGTAGCAACTGGTGTATATAGTATCATAACCTCACTAAGACAATGAGCCTCCCCTCTACACTCAGGTTGGTGAAGAGAGCAGATGCCATACTAGAACATCTGAATTCCTGAAATTGATATTTTTGTATCTTATTTTTCATGTATTTAATTTTACAAAATCCCAAACTGGAAATTTACTGGTAGAAATCATTTAATCATTGTAAGCAAACTAAAACACTGAGCCTCAGATGACTCAGTTGCCCACTTGGCCATGGATGACCATGGGAGAACAGAGATAGCAAAGATAACATTTTTTACAGCACAGGAATTTGGTGAGGTAGGGATAAGGGCTCAGTTATTTTTGAGGCAATTCAATTTTTTACAGTATATATACATGAGGATAAGTCAAAAAGTATTGCTAAAAAAATTATAGCAAACTTTATTAAACAAAAATATCAAAATGTGAAGCTGGTGTCTCTCGACATCTCCTCTATCTAGATCTATACAATTTGGAAGGCAGTGTTTCCATCTCTATAATCCTTCTCCAAAGAATGTTGTGCTCTTTGATTTATACCATGTCCAAATAGTAGGGGCCTCCTTAAGGGAGTCAAATCACGTTCCTTTGAAATGTTTTTTGAGTTTGGGGAACAAAAAGAAGTCTGAAAAGATAAGATCAGGGCTTCAGGGCAGATGGAGTAAGGGTTTTCAATGAAATGAGCAGGTGCAGGGCAGTGGTGGTGAAAGATTCCTTGGTGCCACTTTTTGGGCCTTTTTCTCATCAATGTAGCTTTCCATTTTCTCAAAACTTCTTCCTAAGAAGTCCCCAAGGCTGTCCTGTGACCTTTAAGGCAATCTGTCAAGATTACCCCTTTAAAGTCCCCCAAAACAGGCTCTGCAGCCTTCTTGAATGCTCAAACTTGCATTTAACTGGGCCAGCTGATCCCTTCAGAAGCCACTGCTTTGTTTTGAAGGCCACCGGACAAGGCAGTATGGAGAAAACTTGTCTGCAGAAATTCACTGATTTCCAAGACATACTTAAATACATTTTGTTTGGAATAAAGCTGTGTATGAGTCGGAACTGACTCAATGGCACTTAAGAACAACACAGATGTATGATGAACTGAAACCCTAGAGCAGTACTTGTCAACATACCTTTGTATATATTAAATAAAAGAAATGAAAAGTTTCCAAAGAAAAAATTTTTGTTGTTGTTAAGTGCCGTTGAGTCGGTTCCGACCCATAGCGACCCTGTACAGGGTTTCCGAGGGTATAAATCCTTACGGGAGTAGAAAGCCTCATCTTTCTCCCGCGGAGCGGCTGGTAGTTTCGAACCGCTGACCTTAAGGTTCGCAGCCCGATTCGTAACCACTACGCCATGCTTCACAGTGATCACAATTTTTGGTACTTTCAGTTACTAAGATTTGGGGGCTCAGAAAATTTTGTGGTTACTCTAATAATCTGAAACGAATTATCTTTGTCTTCAATAAGCAAACAGCACTGCACGTATCCCTATGCTGTGTGGGTTGGTTCCCAATGTCATGGTCATAGATGGATGAAATTAAAATAGACCCAAGGACAAGTGAAAACAAACCTATCACCCTCAAGATTTCTTTATGTATATAAGACTCAGCTAAATTAGTATATGTTGAGTGGGGAATATTTAGACTACTAAGTAAAAACGTCAAATCCATTAAAGATAGAGTTAAAATTATCCATCTACCTTGACAATGGATTTGCTCCTAGGGCTGTCCCTCATCATCTCCCAGGATACTGTCAAGCCTTTGATTCCCCTGCCCGCCCTCCAGTGCCCATCCCATACCTTGCTTCAGCTTCGTCTTCGTTATCTTGGCTTCGTTTAACAGTTTTTCACTATCAGAACTCAGGGTTTTGGCTTTTCCTGGAAGAGCTTCCTTTATCACTGTCTGAAAGCAGAGCATTTATCAGGCTTAAACATATAGAATATCTTAGGAAACACGGCGTAGGATTTCTCGTCCTACTCTAAAGGTTAGTAAGAGACGGAGCTCTCGGCAGACAGATTTGGCTTGGAGAGGCGGTCTCACCTATGGTGACTAAAAAACAACCACAAATCAACCACTGCCATTGAGTTGATTCTGATTCATAGTGACTCTTTATAGGATTTCCAAGACTGAAAACCTTTATGGGGGCACACAGGCTCATCTATCACCCACACCATTGACCTTTGGGTTAGCAGCCCAATGCTTATTTCATAGTCACTAGGGCTCCTTTCCTTTGGTGACTAATGCTGACAAATTGTGTGACACCCTGTTGAAATATTTTCATTTTTCAGTATTTCCTTATTTATGGTCACTAGTTTCTCACCCCTGGCCAGAACCATCTTCACACCAGAAAAGCAGTCACCAATTCATCCTCCTTAATCTTCCAAGAATATCAGCCTCTCGACTTTTTGATAGGGAATGTTTTTGTGCTTTATATTCAGATATGTTGTTGTTAAGTACTGTCGAGTTGGTTCCAACTCATAGTGGTCCTGTAAAGGGTTTCCAGGGCTGTGGGTCTGAACCATCAATCTTACGGTTCTCAGTTCAGTGCTTATCCTACAGAGCGACGGTGCTCCCATATTTAGATACAGGAATAGTATAAAGTGCATATAAGATCCCAACTCACGCCACAGACATATCTAGGCACAAGACCAAATGGGAGCAAATATTTATCAAATTGTTTACAAAAATCTTTCTTTTTTGTAAATATTAATACTTAGACACGGTATAAGGCTCCCTGGTAGTACAGTGGGTTACTCATTGTGCTACCAACCATAAGATCAGCAGTTTGAAAAAGAAAGATGGGGCTTTCTTCTCCCATAAAGATTGATAGCCTGGGGAACTCTATTCAGGGACACTATGAGTTGGAACTGACTGAACAGCATGCAAAAGCAGCAGCAATAGATACAGTATAACAGTATACCTGGTAGAAACAGAATATAACTTTTATTTTGGTTTAATTGATAATTGCTTTAAATTGCTAATCAGTGTTAGCTCTATCTGATTTCACAAAAGAGTTTTTAAACTGTGGCTCAAATAGTTAAAAGCTCAACTATTATCCCAAAAGTTAGCAGTTCAAACCGATGAGTACGTGCCTCAGAAAACAGACCTGGTGACCTGCTTCCCAAAAGTCACAGCCTTGAAAATCCCATGGAACAGTCCTACTCTGACCACACATGGGGTCACCATGAGTTGAAATGGACTCAATGGCAACCAACAACAACATATATTAAACCATCAAGTAAATACAGAATCACCCATATCTATAGCAAGTTCCGTTTGACTCCACATAGCAAATGCTGATTTAAAAAACAGTGCAATTTTTATTCCTCAGCACACAGTGAGAGGGCATAAGAAAGAGTACCACCTTCTAGGAGCGCAGGTGCCCACCTGGAGAGCAGAGTCGGATGCGCTCATGGCCTTGTTGGCTGCATCCTCAGCCGCTTTGATGGCGTTGATGATATTCTCATAGGCGGTAGCAGCATCCACGGCACAGCGCACTAGCTCATCCCCACTGGTGTTTCTCTTGATCCTGGAAGATGGTATGGTTTAAGGTCTCCAGCAGTCTTCACCTGCCTGTCTCTTTTGGTCCATCAAGACCAGAGATGGTAGACTTAGCAGCTCTGTCTGCCCTAATAGACACACTGGGATTGAGCTGTCTTGCTACTTGATTCTGACCTGTGCCCTGGTTTCTAAGCCTTACTCCCCCATCCCTCCAACCTGCTGTGGAAACCCAGTGAGCAAATGAGAGGGGTTCACACTTGGCTCAAGCCAATGCCACACACAATAGCACATCTGTCGTGTTATCTACTCACTCTTCCAGCTGTCTCGCCAGCTCCTGTAAAGACTGTACGTGCTTCTCTGCCTCCACCACCAGCGATTCTTTGTTGGCAGATTTGGAAAGTTCTGCCACTTTGTCACTCAGTTCTTGTCTTACTCCATTTAAAGTGGTAGCTAATTTTCCATAGTCCTATTTTTTCCAAATAAACCAAGACAGTATAAATTTCAGCAAGCCTACATATGCCATTTTCTTGAACTCTGTCACAGAACGCATCTTTTCAGGAGACAGCAAAGAGAAACTATGTTTTTTAAGCCCGTTTATCAAATCAAATCATCCTCAGTTGTTTCTGATAGTGAAAATATTCCCTCAAGTCTTAGAGGCAGTTTGAATGTTTTCTTGATGGCAGTTAGCCCCTTTGGTTAAGTTTTGTAGAAACCCACTATTATCTTTAAAGTAAAGTTGCTCTCAACAAAAGCATTTTTTTTTTTTCTGATTTAGAAATAACTATTTAAAATGTTTTCAAAATACCCATTGAGTTAACTAAGAAATTTTATAAACCTTTTAATAATCCTAAGTGTTCTCTGTTAGTGAAGATACTCCTCATATTTTAAAACAGCATGGCAATTTTTGTTATCAGAAAAGCAGAAATTTGCTTACTGCAAACAAATTAGGGAAGAGAACTGCCCATAAAGAAAGTAGCTTATTCACACCCCGCCCCCTCGGTTAGCATGTTGGTATCTTTCCTCCCACTTCTGAGACATATAAAAAAGTAGGGCAGTTCACCTCATAGTTTCCTTGTGACAGAACTTAAATGTTTTGAGAATTTCTCAAGAACAAGTGTCTCGCCTACCGTCTGGCTTTTCTCCATGAGTTGCAGCATGACATTGGTTTGCAGCAAGGAAGCATCTGCAGTGGTGAGATACTTGGTGAAATCGCTTTGTAGGGAACTGATGTCTTTAACTTGCCTCTGGAGAGAATACAAACAAGATGAACTTGAGCTGCATGATATATTATCGGGAGACAGACAGACACATTTACTGACAAATAGCATGTACGTCATTTCAGAGTTAGAGTGGCTTTTTGAATGAGTTTGTCCAGACAGCTACAAAGTGATGGCAGTCTGTTGTCCTTGCTGTGAAGGAGTGACACACAGTTTTCTTAAATGTTATGTCAACAAAACAACTGTCATTATTGTTGGAGAACGATTCTACACTAGCCAGTGAATACATGTTCTAGCTCTTGTTTGTGGAACAGAAGGAGGAAGTTTAACCAGTGAAATGAGCACTAACCCTCAGCACACTCTAATGAGGATCTGGAGGTAACTTCATTGAGAGAGGACACCGGATCTGAGTCAAAATGCTAGGTTAGAAGGCTTTTGAAGGCCTGGAGATGTACTTCCAAAAATCGGCCAAGGAAAATTCTAAGGATCACAATGGTCTGATCTACAACTGATCATGAGCCTGGCACAGGACGCGCCCAGCATGCACTAGAGACTGACTCAGCACAAGTTAACACAACAACAACCAGGAGTACCAGCAGGGACCCTGCCAATGCAAGTTTAGTCAGACTAAAGTTGTTAGCATCCCTTACTCTTATCACTAATGAAAGCCTGTGGACTCCAACTATGAACTCACCTTGATGGCTTCCAAAGCCCTCTCATTGTCTTGGTTAAGACCAGTGGCCTGCTTTGCCTGGGCAGTTGCTTCTTGTAGCGCCCCCTGGAGATCACTGAGTTTGGCTTCATATTCATTTAAAGAATCCCGGATACTCCTAACCAGTCCACTGTCCTCCACCTGGTGGTTTTCCAGCCAGCTCCTGATTCGAGTCAGCACTGCAATACACCATTTAATGCTTTCCACTTGAGAGATGAGTACATTAAAGCTAATTTATAGACTGCAGAGGAAGAATTGAGTTTCTACTTTTATCCATTTACTTGAACTTGTGAAGGAATGGGAAAGAAAACAAATGTTTGTACCGTACCAGTATGTGTGTTGTAAAACTGCCTCACTGAATACTCAAAAATAACCCCAGGAATGGTCAACCTTATGTGTCACAGAAGGAAATGGAGGCCCTGAAAAATTAGGTGATCTCCCCAAGGTTATAGGACAGATCAGGCTTGGAACTTAAATAAGGTCTGACGAAACATAAAACAATAACACTCTTCTTCCACTATTAATTCTCTCCTTAAATTAAAAACCAACCCTGATGTTCAATTTAAATAATAAAAATACTCAAAACTGGTCCTATCTGTGCACTAATGATTGACACACCATTTAACTAGAGAATAAACATCAGCATTTGAAAAGAAAAAAATAGATACCAAACTCATATTTCTCATAGTTTTAAGTTAATGAGGCAGTGTTACCTTGTCAAAACTGTTCAATAGTGGCAGTTAATTTCTAGTGTACCCAGTTGTTGTTTTTTCAATAGTAGTGTTAATACCAATTTTTTTATTTAACAATCTAATGGTTACAAAATGCTATAATGAGAAAGTTGGGAAGAATACAAGAAAGTTAAAAGAACAAAGATGCAGTCTCAAAGGAAAGTAAAGTATCAACACCTAACTTAGGAGAAGACTCGTGTGTGTGTGTGTGTCTGTGTAGTGTGTAGTGTGTGTGTGTGTGTGACAGTAAGATTCTATATTCTACAACCTTTTGGTGAATTGGATAAAAGACTCTTGGTCTCCTGTGGACCTCTCCATTTCCCCCAGATCACAATATCCTACTGCGATACACATTAGCAATACAGATGGAAAGGAGGAAGCCTTCCATCTGCACCTGGGGGGAGTTTTCATTGCATATTACACAAGTATTTCAATATATTTAGAACAAAATAGATGCAAGATTCTGGAAAATCCTTACAGAGTTGAGCCTCCGTCTTTTCCATTTCAGCTTCTCTCAGCTGCTTTCCAAAGTTGCGGCTCCGCATTTCCCTCATCATGCGTTCTGCTTCAGCCAACTGGCTGGAAAAATCTCCTGAAGGCAGGTTGTTTTCCCCTCCACCTGTCCCAGATATCTGCTTTACAAGAACTGGAAAACATTGAATCTTTTATTAAACTGGGATTTCTGGGCTCCAGACATAAAAGAGAGAGGCTTTTTATAGAAGGTTCATACTAGATTTTTAGTATCAATACAGGACCTTTCTCATAATGTTGAACTATTAAAAAGAAATTGTTCAGTGAACAAGGGCAAAGTAATGAAAAGTATTAAGTTGGGCTGAGCAGCTCTTCTTACTGTGAACATTCCTGATGATGTTTTTAATTTTTGTGTCCAGCTCTTTTGCGCTTTGTATTGTCCGGTCAACATTGTTATATAATGTTTGTGCTTTTCTGGAATTGATTTGAGCCTGTGTAAAAAATATAAAATGATCAGCAACAAATTAAGTTTATAGGGAAAAATATTAAACGATATGAAAATTTAAAAATTAACAAGGTAATTAACCTTTAGCAATTTACCTTTTCTTGCAGAGTGTCAAATTCACGATTCAAATCACTCAGTTCCTTTTCCAGGCCATCCATTTTCGATCCGTGATTTGAAATGGCAGAACGGTAGTTCAGCAATTGATTCTGAAAATAAAATATAAAGTTGATCTCACTTCAGAGTGGAAATTACAAGTCCCACTAATACTGTAAAACCTGATGATGAGATGAGAAGATTCATTTAGCAAGACCAATGATGGTGTGACAGAAGAAAATGTCTGAATGAAGAATTTACTTTCCAATATAAATTGTGATACGGTTTGAAAATTAAGCTGCATACTTTTTAAAAAGTAAAGACAGAAGAGATATTTTACTGACTTAACCTTGTAGAAATGAGAATACTACTTTCCTGATGCATTGATTTCTAGATTCTATACTACTTCAGACATGTTATCAGGATGGACCAATCCCTGGAGAAGAACGTCACATTTGGTAAAGAGGAGGGCCAGCAAAAAAGAAGACACCCAATGAGAAGGGTTGACATGGCGGCGGCAGCAATGGGCCCAAACGTAACAATTGTGAGGATGGTGCAAGACTGGGAAGAGTTTCATTCTGTTGTGCATAGGGTCACTATGAGTTGGAACTGACTCAACAGCACCTCATGACAACTAACAAAATAATCAATTCTGTTTTGTTAAAAACCAACAACAACCTATATTTAATCTGATGATTCTGAAAGCAGTGAGTATGGCTCCTTTATTGAAGGGATTTCAAGAATTTTAGAGCTGGAGGGGAACTCAGAGTTCACTTAATTGAACACCTGCATCTATGAATGAGAACACAGAAGGTCAAAGAAGTTGGGAAACTTGTCTATGGTCATATATTGACTCGTGATTGATTCAGGGTCAGAATCCAGGTGGCTCTGTCCAAATGCCTCATGACTTTTAGATGATGATACTGTTGTACATAAGATCTACAGTAATGATTGTTTTCAATAGATTGGAAAAACTTATTAGCACCTTGAACATTTTTACAAAGAAAGCAACCCTATTACCTAGTTCCACATTTGAGAGCTGATACTGAATAAAAGAACATAGGCTTTAGAGCTATAAAGATGAATGTCCAAACCTTTGGTACACTACTTACTAGCTGAGCCTTACTGAGCCTTATCTCCTTTATCAGTAAACTGGGGATTACAGTATTAAACTGCAGTCAATTCTGATGATTAATGAGCTGTGTGTGTGTGTGTGTGTGTGTGTGTGTGTGTGTGTGTGTGTGGTGGTGGGGGGCGGGGCGAGCTAAACACTGTCAAGTGGGTTCCAACCCTGTATGAGTTTCTGAGACTATAAATCTCTGTGGGTGCAGAAAGCTTCAGCTTCTTCCTGCAGTACAGCTGGTGGGCTCGAACTACTGACCTTGTGGTTTGTAGTCTAGTACTTACCTTACAGTCACTACACTCCCATTAATGAGCCATTATATTATAAACATCAGGTATACATGAACATTTAAAAATGCTAGTTATCACAGGGTGTTAAAAATAAACCCTAACCCCTGTGCCTTGTGAATGTGGTCTTGTCTGGAAAGCAATTTCTTTTTTTGAAGACGTTACGGTGGCCCCTAATCCTAAGGCCTTCTGAGCAGTGTTTTATAGGAGACCATGGTGGCTCCATATGATAAACACTGGACTGCAAACCACAAGGACCGCAGTTCAAGCCAGTCAGCCGCTCCGCAGGGAGAAAGATGAGAGTTTCTGCTCTTGAGATGATTTAAAGCCTCAGAAACCTTATACAGTGTCACTGTGAGTTAGAACCAAGTCAACAGAATTTAACAACAACAGCAAGAAATGCTTTGTAAAAGGGAGAACAGAGAAGGAAACAGGGAGACGCTGGAGAGGATCTCTCTACAAGCTAGGGGAACACCAAGAAATACCTGGAGCTACAGAGGCTGGAACCCACAGAGAGCGAGTGAGCACTGCCCTGCTGGTGTTCTGAATTCAGACATCTAGCCCCAGAACTGTGACAAGATAATTTTTGTTCTTGAAAGTTGAAAAAAAAAGTTCTTTTTTCATACTTATTCCTACTAAATTTTCACTGTGTGTGTGTGTGATATAATGAGAAGACACTTGTATTTGAATTTTACTGTGGGAAAACTGAGGCTCATCATTATGTGGAATGTGAGTAGAACACCTGGATTATAGGAACAGTGGCCAAAGCATGGTCTTTAGAACTAGATGTGGTTTGAATTCTTCTAAAACTGCCATACACTGACTGTAAGATTTTGGATAAAGTATCTAGCTTCTCCGTGTCTTATAAATGAAAATAACTCTATTTTCCTGATAGGGATACTGTGAGGTTTAAATACAGCACTTCACATTGGCACATAGTACAGGTAAAAAGAAAAAAGTTTCTTTTCCTTCTCTGAAGAAGTGCAGGGCTTAAATGATGAAGTTAAAGGGGCTGAAGTGACTTCTCCATCTCTTAAAAGATAGAGATTTTTACCCCCCCTCCCTCTCTCTCCTGCAAAACCATGGACTAAAAGTACCCTGATGGGCTGGCAGAGTCATTTTTGATAGAATCTTTTTTTTTTTTTTTTGCTACGTCTTCTTAGTTATGTTCTGGTGTGGCGCTGTGGGTTAATGCGCCAGACTGCAAAGCCGTTTGAACAGCAAGGTCAGTGGTTCAAGCTCACTAGCTGCTCCTCGAAAACCCTATACAGGGTCACTATGGGTTGGAACTGACTCAATGGCACTTAACAACAACTTAGTTACAGCCACTGATGGGTTTAGAATCGTTTTTATCGCAAAGCACCTATTAAATTTTCTTCAAAACCTCTTTCACTGTGTCTCATCTAAGATTTATCTTGTCTATTGAAATCTCTTACTTTAATGTAATGAGTATATTTTAAAAATTATCCTTCATTTTTAATTGGATATTTTCATATTTATCCCTTTGGTTTGATTTCTGATGGGCTGATGTTTTGTTGTTGTTGGTGGTGGTCAAAGTGAAGATATCTTTTGACTGCTGCTTCTGCTGGTTACCTTCTTGCTACTATTTCTCTATTACAATGTTTGCAGGCTCATTCTGAGTCAGAGGTTTTCTTCTCTCTGTGTGCCCACCACCAACTATCACCCCAAGTCCCACAATTCAGGACCAGGGCTCACATTGATAGTCAGGACTTGCATACTCTGGTGATGCTAAGATATCATACATTCAGGCAGTGGCTACTTTGCCTGGCTTTTCTAAGTTTTCATATAAATGTTGCCCAATAGTGAGCAGTAATTGGTTTCAGAGTTGGCCTTTCAGACTCCATTCACGGTGGAGGAGCCTCTGTTTCCCTCAGGGAGCCTAATTCTGGCCACGGGGCAGGGGGTGGGGTGGAGGGGGGTGGAACTTGGATCCCTATTACCTCTCAGGATACCCTCCTGGTCACCTTTTTGTTCAGTGCACATGGGATATTCAACAAGATGGACCATGTACTGGGCTATAAAACAAACCACAACCCATTTAAAAGAACTGAAATCATACAAAGTATGTTTTCTGACCACAGTGGAGTTTTATATCAGAAATCAGTAGCAGAAAGATACTTGGGAATCCCCAGTGTGGATTAAACAACACACTTTTTAAATAACTTATGGGTCAAAAATATGTTTCAAGGAAAATGAGAAAATATTGTAAATTGAATGAAAATGAAAATAGAATATTTAAAAATGTGTTCAGAGGCAACTCTATTGCACTAATGCTTATATTAAAAAACAGTAGAGGTTTTTTGAATCAATAAAATAAGTTTTTGTCTTAAGAAACTAGAAAACAAAGAGCAGATTAAAGCCAAAGTAAGCACAATGGAGAAAAATTTAGGGTAAGAACAGAAACCAGTGAAATTGAAAACAAAAAAACAATGGGGAAAAATCACTGAAACCAAAAGTTCTTTAAGATAACTAAAGTTGGTAAACCTGTAGCTAGAATTATCAAGTAAAAAAGAGATGAAATAAAATGATCAGTATCAGGAATTAAACAAGAGGGCACCACTACAAATCCTACAGATATTTAAAAGATATTAAGAGAATATTATGGAGAAATTCATCAATACATGTGATCATTTAGATGAAATGAGTAGATAAATTATTTGAAAGACACAAACTACAAAGCATCATTCAAGAAAAAAAAACAAACAAAAGAAAAACAGCAAATCAAATCTTTCCATACATATTTTTAAAGAATGGAATTTGTAGTTTTAAGAAGCCACACAAAACCCTTCAAACAAAGAAAGTCCTATGTCCAGATGATTTCACTGGAAAAGCCTATCAAATATTTAAGGAAAAATTAATACCAATTCTATACAAACATGTTTTTGAGAGTCTCCTGTATGGAAAATAATAAGCTCTGGTAG